AAATCTTCCGCATTCTTCAGTAAGGGGGTGGGCCTCACACAGAAGCAAAGTGTACTCCAGGCACTCGGGATTGCAGATGAGTCAAAAAATGATAGATACCTCGGACTGCCGGTCCACTTGGGATTGGCAAAGAGTAAGGAGTTTGAATACCTGAAGGAGATGATATGGAAAAGAATCCAGGGATGGATGGAGAAGCTGCTTTCAAAAGTGGGGAAAGAAATTTTGGTGAAAGCAGTGGCCCAAGCCATTCCCACATATGCCATGTCATGTTTCGACCTGACCAAATCTTTATGTGAGGAGATTAGTGCCATGATTGTGAGATACTGGTGGAGTCAGCAAGATGGCAAGGATAAGTGTCATTGGATAAGCTGGGAAAGAATGACTAGAACCAAGTCAAATGGTGGTCTTGGATTCAAGGACCTCCATATTTTCAACATGGCAATGCTCGCACGCCAGAGTTGGAGGCTTCTACAAAATCCAGACTCCTTATGTGCGACTGTTCTCAAAGCTAAGTATTTCCCAAATTGCTCCATTCTTGATGCAGTAGCTCAACCGGGAATGTCATACTCGTGGCGTAGTATTCTGAGAGGCCGTGACCTTCTCAAGGAGGGTATTGTTTGGCGGGTTGGAGACGGATCTGGCATTAATGTGTGGAAGGACCCTTGGCTCCCGAGAGGCACAACGAGGAGACCGTCTACTGGGCCAGTCCATTGTTACTAAGGTGAGCGAGTTGATCGATCCAATCTCTGAAACCTGGGACGAGGAGCTGGTGCGTGAGCTTTTCTGTGTAGAAGATCAGGAGGTAATTCTTGCCATCCCAATTAAGCCTGGCATGGAGGATTTTGTTGCCTGGCACTTTGATAAAAAGGGTGAATTTTTAGTCAAATCTGCCTATCAGGTTGGCATTACAATCAGAGATGGTGAACTACACAGGGTCACCAGTTCCTCAAATGGAGCGAAGCACGTGCAACCCAGCTGGAATGACCTTTGAAAAATCCCCGCTCCTGGCAAAGTTCAGATGTTTCTTGGGCGCCTTGCTCAAAATAGTCTGCCCACTAGACTGAATATTAAGAGGAAGCATATTGACCTGGACACGCGCTGCCCTATGTGCCACCGCCTTGACGAGGATGGCGGTAATATATTTATCAAATGTAAGATGGTGAAGGCCGTTTGGAGAGAGCAGTGCCTTGAAGATGTGAGACTGACACTATGTGAATGCTCAAGTGCACGTGGAGTGGTTCAAGCGATATGCTCCTTGCAGGCAGAGAAGCAACTCCGGGTGGCAGTACTCCTTTGGGACTGGTGGACATCGAGAAACAAGGTCAATGCAGGTGATAAACCAAAAACTCCAGCCGAGGTGAGCTCCTTCATTAGCAAACATGTTCTGGAGTTTAGTCCGGATGTGAAGAACCAGCCTGATATACAGGAAAACGTTAACCACAAATGGAGACATCCTGGACCAGGCTTAGTGAAAGTGAACGTCGACGCAGCTTTTGACAGCCAGTCAAACACGGGTGCATGGGGCTTCATCGTGAGATATGGTGCCGGAGACTTCATTGCTGCAGCAGCAGGGAAGCTTGCTCACATCCGTGATCCCCTGCATGCGGAAGCTGAGGCTAGTCTCAAGGCAATTGAAGCAGCGGCGGATCTGGGTGTGCGGAGAGTTGTGTTTGAATCAGATTGCCATGTTCTGGTCAATGCGCTGAAAAGCAAGGAGTTTGATGCTGCGGAGGTTGGTGTTTTAATTCGTGAAGCTCGCAGTTTATGCCGCGCTTCTTTTGAATCTGCTGAATTCACCTTCTGCCGCCGGGAATGTAACAAGGTTGCACATGTGCTCGCACAACAGGCCTACAGGGCTTTGGTGCCTTTGTCTATTTGGACTGAAAACGCTCCAGTTTGTGTATCTGTACTGGTTGCCAGCGAATGTGCTGAGCATCAGAGTTAAGTGGAATGATATATTCCTTCTCAAAAAAAAGGTGGTCCCTTTTCCACTGTTCGAGCTGCAGAGCCACTGGGTGGCCGGCGTTCTGTCGGGGCGATTCAAGCTCCCATCCAAGGACGAGATGATGCGAGACGTGACGGCCTTTATGTTGTTAGAAAGCACTATATAAGAACACTCGAAAGAAGGGACGTCCCCTTTATGTTGGCTCTTTAATTCTCGCCTGCATATATGCTAGGCTCCGGTTTTGCTGGGGAGATGCCCACTTATCTTGGCATGTGCAACAGCATTTTAGTGTCTCCTAGATTATGCCTTTCTTAAGAAGACCCTAAATCATACCTGATTACTTCTTTTATTTTTGAGAAGATCATACCTGATTACTTCTTTTTTTTAGAAGATCATACCTGATTTTTTTTTTTTTGAGGGGACATACCTGATTACTAGTCAAAGGATTAGGTAGCTTTTAAGCGCTAGATGGCTTTTCAGCGAGCATCACGTCTCTCCCTCAGTATTTGTGTTTCTCATTTTTAGTGCATGTTGCTTAGTAGAGCGATTCGTGTCATAGCCTCCAACTTTTAGTATATTTTTTGTTCTTTCTGATACTTCATCATTATTTTCTTTTTGTCAAGATGTAAATACTTTTTTTGTCATGATAAAATGTGAATTCTTTGGGAAAAATTGTAGTAATGCAATAATTAATTTTTAAAATTCTGAACAATATTACATCTCGGTATGTAACGACGTGATGTAATAATGCTAATTAAGGGTTTTTTAAGGCGGAGACGAACAATTTCGTACTAATGAGCTGGTAGCAATAATATCAATAAATGATAGGGAAAACAGGAACAATTTTTAAAATTCTGAAAAATATTTTAAAAGCGCGGACAAATTTTGAATTTTTGAACAAGTTTTGAAAGTGCGAACAATTTTTGAAATAACGTGCTCTCAAATGAAGTCTTCTGGCCTACCCAGACACCCTACGTCGAACATGGTTTTTTCTGAACATTCTTGAAATGACCTCAATTCTTGCAAGCAAGTGTGCATGCCCGCTTGCTTGCAAAATTTGGAGTTATTTGGAGGATGTTCAACAAATGGGGGTTCAGGTAGACTAGAAGGCTTCGTCGAGAGCACGTTGTTTTTCGACATCCCTGAAATGACCCTATTTTTTTTCTATGGCCTCGTACAACCAAATCAAGGCACAATAACAAGCTGTTTTTGTTTTTTATTTTGTTTTGTATTTTCTATAGTTTTTTCAATCAAAAAAGCTAATAAATGACCGAACATGTCACAATTTGTATACGGTGTCGAAAATCATTCAAACCTGACATGGATGCTTACCATGGAGATGCCCACCTTCTTGCAAAAGTTGGAGTGATTTGAAGAATGTCCAAAGATAGACCACTCAACGGCGGTTGTTTGGGTAGGTGAGAAGGCTTCTTCTGAGAGCACGTCGTTTCCCGACATTCTTGAAATGGCCCTAATTTTTTCCATGCCTTGTATGACCAATTCAAGGCACTATGCCAAGTTGTTTTCGTTTTCGACAAATTTTGCATCTTTTTGGAGTTTTATCGGTAAAAAATGGCCGATATATGGGCAGACGTGTCACAACTTGCATACGGTGTCAGAAATCGTTCAAATTTGTCTTGGTTGATTATCATGGTCATGCCCACCTGCTTGAAAAAATTGGGGTCTTTTTAAGAATGTCCAAAACTAGATCATGTTTAATGGAGGGTGTTCGGGGTGGCCAAAAGGCTCCGCCTAAGGGTACGTTATTTCTCGACATCCTTCAAATGGCCTAAATTTTTTTCCACCTCATTCTGTGATCAAATCAAGGCATCATGCCAAGTTGCTTGAGTTTTTGATAATTCTTTCATTTTCTGGAGTTTTCTCGGTGAAAACTAGCCGATAAATGGGCGGACGTGACACGACTTGCATATGGTGTGGGAAATTCGTTCAAACCTGGCATATATGCCTACCATGGGCATACCCACCCTCTGGAAAAAGTTGGTGTCATTTCATGCATGTCCAAAAATAAATCATGAACCGTGTTTTAGGAACCTTCTCGAAGGTCCTGAACCTTTTTTTTCTTTTTATCTTCTCTCCTTTTTTATTTTTTCCTGTTTCTTCTTCTTTGACTTTTCTTTTTTTCTGTTTATTTCTCACAAATTCTAAATTTTCAGAATTCAAATTTTGTTCATATTTTTCTGATTTTTTGTCGAATTCTGAGTTTGCTGTTTTCCTAAAACTGTTCATGTTCAAAAATTTGTTCGCTTTTTTAAAAGATGTTCTTGTTTTGACATTCCGATCGAGTTTGAAGACATGAACATTTTTTTGAAATTTTTGTACAATTTTATTAAATGTTCATATTTGTATTTCATGAACAAAAACGGAAAACTAAAACCGGAGCGTGAACTGTGCCAAAAAAAAACGAAAGAAAAACCAACGGTGCTGTGTTTTTTTCTTAGCGTCACCTATCTCTAACAAGAGGAAACAAGGTCAGTATGCATACTTGATCCCGTGTCCGAGATGGTTTGTGCGCTTGCACGGTGAGCAATGAGGACTGTAATTCGAATCCCAAGGAACCACTTTTTAAAGTTTAAACCTAAAAAGAACTAAAGGGAATGTACCAGGAATTGTACAAACCTACAACGTATACGTTCTACATAGGAAAATGCGTATAATTTATGAAATGTCCATACTACCCTTTATACGTTTTGTGTAGTTCGAATCCCAAGGAACCACTTTTTAAAGTTTAAACCTAAAAAGAACTAAAGGGAATGTACCAGGAATTGTACAAACTTACAATGTATACGTTCTACATAGGAAAATGCGTATAATTTATGAAATGTCCATACTACCCTTTATACGTTTTGTGAGGGGGGTTGTACCGAAGCGGGTCTCCCGGCCTTGATTGATCGTAGTTCATTCTCCATCGAATACTGATATAAACTCTACTGTCCCTTTTGGGGGGTTCTTGTCATAGAGAAAAATGACGAATCAAAACAAGTGTGTTGTCCTTGGGTGGTTCAATTAATCCAGTCTCTCTCTTGTCAAGCCGGTATTAGTGGTACATTTGACATGAATGGAGTACAATAATACACGGGGATGGAGGAGGGAGCGATCTTAGTCGCTTCGTTTCAGCTGCATTCTGCACCTGCGCTTCACCTGCGTCGACGAGCGACCACATCACACCGGCGTCAGCCCGTGCTTGAGCGCCGCCTTCCACACGACGTCGATCCGGTCGACGTCGAGCGCGCCCACCTCGTGGTGCTCCCACCCCTCCAGGAAGTGCACCACTCCGCCGGCGTGGCACGCGTGCACCACCCCTCGCTCCATAGTGTACTGAGAGTAACAAAAACAGCAGCGAATCGCCGTCAGTACACGCACGTGCGGTGACATGGATCAGACGGACGGTATGGGTCATCGTTAAGTGCGTTACCTCGCAGGAGCCGAGGCCCTGCACGTCCTTGGGGAGCCTCATGGCGGCGAGCTTGCCGTAGGTGCAGTCGCGGCGGAAGCCGATGATGGGTGGCACGACGAACTGGTGGAAGTGCGTCCCCGGCGGCGCCCACCGCTGCTCCCTCGGCGACAGCCACTTGCCCACGATCCACGTCTGCACACCCAACGTTACCACCATGTCAACACACCATACGCACAAGGGTACAAATTGATGAGCAATCGGATGGTTTGAACGGCGGTGAGACCTTGCAGTTCTGCGCGGCCTGGTACTTGGTGACCTGCACGAGGTACTGCTGGAACTCCGCCGGCGCCTCCCTCTGGATCTTCAGGAACCTCTCCGACGACATTGTCAGCATCTGAAACAAAACGAAATTGTCACAATTTAGCCTTTTAACTATCTATCCGTGTGAATTTAGCGACAGATACGGTACCATGACTCTGATCCTTTTCCGGCAGAGGTAGAGGGCGATGGCCCTGCCGAGCTTGGACGTGGCGCCGGTGAGGAACACCTCCTTGGTGTTGCTGGGGATCTCGTTCAGGATCACGGCGGCCGTGAGGGTGTTGCCGTGCACCACCCTCACCCTCAGGTCAGGGTGCTTGTCCACGAATAGGGTGCCACCTCCATTCAATGCCTCGTTCTGGCACAGAAAAATGTAAATTAACTGAGTTTTCAAGATTAAAAAAAAACGTACTTCTCAAAAAAAAGATTGTTCAGAAGCTGGATGGTTCTGGGAGGACTGTTCTCGTATAAACCCGTCACTGTAAACAGTTTGGGATTGTGCAGGTACAGCAATACAGACATACACTGTACCGACTTATCTGCCGGCCTCCGTTCGTTCAGCACGGCACAGGCTGACAGGCACAGCCCAGAGCTCGAGCGGGACCAGGCCGCCGAATCCACGCAGAGATCTTGGCAACAACCAACCCAACCCATGCGCGACCAAGGGACGGCGCAGGCCGACTCTTCGCTGGCCCAGGCCTGCTCTCTGCAAGCCCTGTGCCCCTCGATCCACGCACAGTGCTTCCCCATGGCAGGCATGCATGCATGCACCAGCCACTGAAATTGCGCGCCGCGATTGGGCCACGTGAGCGAGGGGGGCAGGATAAAGAAGCCGTGCCAAAGCGCTCCACGGCAAACGCCTCAGATCGGCCGGGCCGGCTATCGATAGATAGATGGCTTTGTGGCCCACTCGCAGCCACAGTGCTGTCGCCGGCACATGCAAGCGGGAACGGCAAGGACAACTTGGCCACCTTTGGTTGCTGCCGCGCCACCCCACCCACCAGCTAGCTAGCGCATGGGGTGGTATTCCTGCCAACGACACAGTAATGTGCCTCTGCATGGCCGACCTCTCGATCCCGATCTCAACTGTATAGTACTTCTCCCATGCGCCGCGCGCTTTGCGTCGTCGCCGACTAGGCCCGCGCGCCATTCGCCATTGCCGCTCTTGAATGCGCTCACATGCCTCCCGGCTCCCGCTGTGCTCCTACCGATCTCCCGTCTGATTGAGTACTACCACTCTCCTACCTAGCGCTAGCAGTGGCGGAGCACTGTGCTGCACACCACTGCAGCGGGGCGCCGGCCAACTAGACACGGACAGACCAGCAGCAAAGAGGCATGGGGTGGTAGTTGCACCGTAGCCTCTATCTGTTCTGAAGTAGTAGTGTGGCAGCAGACTTACAACCAACACCTAAACGAAAAGAAGATGTGGCTTCATTCATTAATGGACGGATGGTGCAGTGCATGCACGCGGTACCTTGTTGAGGGCGGCGAGGCTGAGGACCTTGACGCCCATCCTGTCTGCGCGGAGGATGGCGAGCTCGATCTGGCGGTTGATGCCGGCCTTGGCGGCCGGGATGAAGTACTGGAAGCCGTGGCGGGGCACGCTCCAGGTCTGGTGGAGGCGGCCGCGGAGGTAGTAGAAGCTGACGAGGAAGGTCTTGGAGCAGCACCACATGAGCATCCCGTAGACCAAGGCCACGGGCCAGAAGGGGAGCAGGATGAGGTGGTTCTCGAACGGCACCGAGGAGATGGAGCGCAGCACGAACGGGACGTGCATCGACGACATGATGTCCACCACGTGCACCAGGAACACGAACTCCGGCACCCGATCATTCTTCCCTGCACCATGTGTGTACAAACCAACGTACGTCCGGTCGTTAGTTGCTTTGCTTGATAATGATTACTCCCTCCGTTCCTAAATATTTGTCTTTCTAGATATTTCAAATGACTACCACATACGGATGTATGTACACATGTTTCAGAGTGTAGGTTCACTCATTTTGCTCATTATGTAGTTACTTCTTGAAATGTTTAGAAAGACAAATATTTAGGAACGGAGGGAGTACTTCGAAAAGCACACGCCATTGCTTGATTAGTTGGTTAATGAAGTGCTGAACGGGGACCAACACAAGACGGCGACACATGCATGCAGATGCATGCCTCATTAATGTTACTATGCTCCTGTTAGTTCGTTCGTACACGTACTACGTACTCCTATCGCTACTGTGCGAGAATAAAATTGATGAGTGTAGGGGTCCTCGGGTGATTAGTAATCGCGTACCCTTGTAGATCTCCTTCTGCAGCTCCCATGACTTGGAGTTTAGGGTGCCGCCCAGGAGGTCGAAGAGCGGCATGAACAGGCAGAAATTGGAGTCCTTCTCCCTGTGGTGCAGGCTCAGATACCTGCATAGCAACACATTACGCATGGATTAGCACAACCAATCAAATCCTACCTCGGCGATCGACCTTAATTTCCATTCCAACCACTTGGGACAAGGATGTAAACAGATAAACAAACACGCGAGTGCAGCAGATTTACTGTGCTCTGCAAAGGATAATGGATGGCTAGCGTGTCACATGCAGACGGCAGGGGAGAAGGAACAGGAATTACCACGCGTGAAGAATGACTGCTTTTACTGCTAAATAATTGCGTGCTTATTGTACTACTGTCGAAAAATAAAAGGGTTTTGACTCACGTCGGGGTGTAGATGAGGTATCTGAGCGGAGGAACAGCCTCGAAGACCCTGTGAGAGATGACCTCCACGTTGCTGTACCCCATGCTCCGAAGATAGTCGAACGTGAGGAGGTGCACGTAGACCAGGCCCAGGGACCCAGCCCCCATCAGGAAGGCCCCTGCCAACGGGACCCCCATCGTCAGCGTCAGCAGCAGGGCCTCCAACGGCGTGCCGAATCCAGCTGCCACCAAACAAGAAGAAAAAGACTTGCTCAGAGATGGGAATCCTTTCTACTATTGGCCACTGTAACTGTAACTAACAATGTCTACTTGTTGCTGCATTGTTACCATGCATGGTAACTACTGATGCTGCAAGGCTGCGTGCATGGTAAAAACGTATACTACTATTACTACGGAGAATATCGTGGCACAATTTGGTTGGCATCGGTGTCTGGTGCATGTCACGAATCAGAGAAAAAAGACGGGGCTGCCATGCAGCACGGGCACACATGCTTTGTCTCTTCTTCTTTTTGCCACTGGGGCTGTTTGGTTGGGTTGGGTTGGCTGGAGCACTGCTCGGCTCTGCGGCTGCGATCCTGCCTGCAACCATGCTTCGCTGCCGCGTACCGCGTACGTACGTACCTGTCAATGGCTGGGTCACCGCCGTGGAGTGGTGCCCGGCGTGGTACTGGCCGAAGAGCGGGGTCCCGTGAAGGGCCCGGTGGGCCCAGTAGAACACGGGCTCTGAGAAGCCCACATGCAGCAGCAGCGCGATGCCCAGCCCCCGCGGGTCCCACACGCGGAGATCCTCCAGTCCCGGGAGGGACAGCGGGCCGTTGACCAGCGCCGCACCAATCAGCGTTTGCAACACCAGGAAGTTATCCCTGCGGGTGGGTCCAGCAGAGCAAGAAAAAATCATTCATCCGAAAAAAATGACAAGATAAACTATAGTGTACTGTACACCATTTACCGGCTTACTATTTGCTGTCAGGTCATCTTATCAGAAATGTGTGTGCCGACGTAATGTTCAAACAATATAATGTTTCAGGATTTCAGCGGTGTGACATATTGACCGGGAAAGGGAGCTCGGGAAACGTCATGGCGGTTGAAGAATGCCATGGCAATTGCCGGTGCGCCCGACGTGTCCAACATCTCTTTGGCTCCACGGAGTCTAGACTCTGGACGCAAGAAACATTCCGGACGGCTTGACACAGAAATGCTCGGTTTATAGGTTGGAGTTGCATTCATAGCGCCATAAACTAACTGTCGTGCTGCACTTAAAATACACGGAGTGCTTTTTTCTTTACTCATGGATGCTTGTTACTCGTGCCCATGCGCTTCGTGTTGAAGCACAGACATCCCGAAAACCCGGGGAGGGAGGCAGCGAACTACCGGAGCTTGTTACCGAGTTACCAACCGGCATGCAGGTCGCATGCGGATCGAGCGAGCGAGCTTGAGGAGGAGGAGAGGAGTGTGCTTACCAGTCCCACTCGTGGTCGACCTGGCGGAAGTCGACGCCGTCGGGAACGACACGGCGGCGGCGGGTGAGGAAGAGCATGTTGCTGTAGGAGAACCAGAACTGATACGTCAGCCCGCGGGCGGAGAAGAGCAGCAGCAGGTGCAGCCACCGCGAGCCCAGCGGCGCGCCGCCCTGCTCCGCCCACTCCTGCGCCACCTTCCACACGAGCGGGCCCAGCAGGAAGTACTGCGCGCGTCCGTCCGTCGACCACCGATCATGCAGCACAACGAAGATGTCAGTCAACGAGGAAAACATGAGACGGTGAGGATGAGAAAAAAGGAGGTGCTCGGTGCGTGCCTTGTATATGCCCAGGCTCGCCCATGGCCAGGAGGAGAGAGGGGGCGCCATGGCAGAGGAGTTCCTCGGGAGCGGGAGCTCGGTGGAGGAGAAAGGGGACGGGGGGCTCTCCTAGTCTCCTGGCTGAGTATGATTTGCCCGAGCCTCCTCTCCGTGCGTACCTGGGGCTGGGGATTCCCGTGCTTATAAAGCGGAGGCCGGAAAACAAAATCAAGCCGAGTGGTACGCTGAATAATTGTAGGTGACTCGGGGCGTGGGCCCACGGGCAGGACGCTGAGGGACGGCTGCCACGTGTACGAACGGAACGTATGGGGGCGCATACAGTAGTACAGTGTACAGCGCGATGGGTGGCCGGTAAATGGAACAATCGAGAGATCCATCATCCCCAATGATAAAACACATGTTACAAACTTAATAGTTAAGTAAAGGAAAATCAATACCCGCATGTAAGTTATCACATGCCGGCTCAGTCTCTTGGAGATGCTCATAGCGATAGGGTATTCATGCGTTCATAGGGATGAATGTATGTGCGTATATATGATCACCTATTATGTATTGTGTTCTCAAAGAAAAAGTATGCAAGTCATCACAATCTTAAAGAGAATTTGGACATCTGAACATACTGTTTATGGACTTTGATAACTACCTGACGTTCGATTCCCAGGCATCTCAGCGTGAACGAAACGTTCGGTAGGAGGAAGCCACTTGGCCGACCGATAACTTCGACGCGAGTGGCCCCTGCCACCGAGCGAAACGCGCCGCACCATTTAGCTGAGTGAGCATGTCGTTTACTATTGGGCTTCTGTAACAAAATACTTGGTGACCTTTAAAAAAACACCTCAGAAAATTGGCATGATAAACTATAAAAAGAAAGAAATCCCTACAGAAAATTGCCACTGCTCAACTACAAAATAATGAAAACCTACATCATAAAAAATATGCCAGCAAGGTTTTAATATTTTTTCAATGATAAAAATGATCCAACAAATTAAAAATGTTATGAAAACAAAAAAGGAAAAATTGCCAAGATGGAAAACTATAATTGCCATGAAATTAAAAACGAGATTTAAGAGAACTAATTGTATGTTGTAACATAAGAATCACTCACATGGCACCAAAATTAAGGAAAAATGTTCTCTAGAAACATGGCAAATGACTATAATGCATCTAATGATCACATGGAAATTTTTACCGAAAATTGCCATGGTGTAGAATTTTTTAGGATGCTCTATTCAACAGATTTGTCGTACTTTTAAAAAAGTTACAAAAAGAAAAGAATTGGGGAATGATATGAGCGATAAAAGTTTCCATGGTGGTGTAGACTAAAACACAAAGAATTTCCCATGTTTGAAAATAATAAAAATTGGCATGGTCCACAGTATAATTTTGCCATGTTCTAAAATACAAAAAAGTAGCCATGATCCAAACAAAAAGAAAAATTGCCATGGTTGAAAAAGAAATCTGCCATGGTGCAAACAATAAAGTTGCCATGGTTCATAACTTTTCGTGCCATGTTATGAAGTATGCATTTGCCATGGTTCAAACAATAAAAATGCCATGGTTGTAGAAATAAATTTTCCATGTCACATAATATAATGTTGGCATGGTCTACAAAATAAAAAGTAGCATGGTCCAAACAAATAGAAAACAATTGGCATGGTTGGAAAAAAATCTACCATGGTACAAACAATAAAGTTACCATGCTTCAATTTTTTTCACCTTATGAAGTATGAATTTACCATGGCTCAAACAATAAAAAAATCCATGGTCATAGAAACAGTTTGGCACATACATGCTGATAACCTCATTTGATGAAATGATGACATACAACTACTGAAAATGAAACTGACACCTCTAAGGTGGTAGGAAACTAACTACATACATAGTGTGAAGTTTGTCAGGAGCAAAATCACAGTAAAAGTTGACATCTACTCCCCGCACGGATTCGGAGCCCCCGCCAGCCTCATAGCTACCATCGCTGCCCGCTTCCTCTTCCTCGAGAAGACACCATGTTGCCAAAGTTTTCCATGGATTTTGGAGGTGTAGCGTCCGCTTCCGCGTCACCCACTTCCTGGTTCTCGAGCAAGTCCACCATCACCCAAATAGCCGGTGGGGGCGCGCGGTGCCGCCGCGGATGACGAGTCAGCGGGAGGATGTAGCAGAGTCACTTGCTGCAAAATGCATGGCGGCGGCCGGAAGAGACATCACGTAGCGGCGTCCCTGGAGCCCAGCGATGCCGCTAACCATCCCCCACGCCAGCGACCTGCTCTTGATCGTGGATTATCGCTCATCTTGTCAGCATCCAGTCACCATCGACCTACTCGAGATTGTGAGGCTAGAGAGGAGGTTGTGGGGATGGATAGGGGGACAGGGGTGTGGGGAGGTGTTCAAAATGTCTTTCGTTTTTTCCAAACGATCTCGTCCGCTGACGTGGCTGTGTCTTCTATTTTAAGATGTGTGCTCAAAATCCAACGGCGAAGAGGACGATTGGCCAAATCTTTAAAATTTGACATTCGGGATTTATCTTTTTTGTTGTCTATAACGTCGGGCGTGTTTTAGCTCAACCTGAAAAATCATGTTAAATCGATAAGCCAAGGGATAATCTTGTCCTCTCTAGGTTATAAACATAGGCACATATTCCAGAAAATTATTTGCATGCTGATGAGGATATAGACCTAGGGTAGGTTCATAGGCCTTTCCTACTTACCCTACCCAAGGTCACTACCCTAGAAGCAAAGAAGCTCAAGAGATAACTGTTGGAAATATGCCCTAGAGGCAATAATAAAATGGTTATTATTATATTTCCCTATTCATGATAATTGTCTATTATTCATGCTTTAATTGTATTGACCAGAAACCGCAATACATGTGTGAATACGTAGACCACAACATGTCCCTAGTGAGCCTCTAGTTGACTAGCTCATTGATCAACAGATGGTCATGGTTTCCTGACTATGGATATTGGATGTCATTGATAACGGGATCACATCATTAGGAGAATGATGTGATGGATGAGACCCAATCCTAAGCATAGCACAAGATCGTGTAGTTTGTTTGCTAAAGCTTTTCCAATGTCAAGTATCATTTCCTTAGACCATGAGATTGTGTAACTCCCGAATACCATAGGACTGCTTTGGGTGTACCAAATGTCACAACGTAACTGGGTGACTATAAAGGTGCTCTATAGGTATCTCCGAAAGTGTCTATAGGGTTGGCACGAATCGAGACTGGGATTTGTCACTCCGTATGACGGAGAGGTATCTCTGGGCCCACTCGGTAATGCATCATCATAATGAGCTCAATGTGACTAAGTAGTTAGTCACAGGATCATGCATTACGGAACGAGTAAAGTGACTTGCCGGTAACGAGATTGAACGAGGTATTGGAATACCGACAATCGAATCTCAGACAAGTAACGTACCGATTGGCAAAGGGAATTGTATACGGGATTGCTTGAATCCTCGACATCGTGGTTCATCCGATGAGATCATCATGGAACATGTGAGATCCAACATGGGTATCCAGATCCCGCTGTTGGTTATTGGCCAGAGAGCTGTCTCGGTCATGTCTGCATGATTCCCGAACCCATAGGGTCTACACACTTAAGGTTCGATGACGCCAGGGTTATAGGGAAGATTTGTATGTGATTACCAAATGTTGTTCGGAGTCCCGGATGAGATCCCGGACGTCACGAGGAGTTCCGGAATGGTCCGGAGGTGAAGATTTACATATGGGAAGTCATCATACGGTCACCAGAAATATTCGGGGGTATACCGGTATTGTACCGGGACCACCAGATGGGTTCCGGGGGTCCACCGGGAGGGTCCACCTACCTCGGAGGGCATTATGGTCTGTAGGTGGAAGGGTACCAGCCCGTAAGTGGGCTGGGCGCCATCCCCCCTAGGGCCCATGCGCCTAGGGTTGGGGGGGACCCTAAGGGGGGCGCCTCCCATGCTTAGGGGGCAAGCCCCCTCCCCCTTGGCCGCCGCCCCCTCTCTAGATCTCATCTAGAGGGGCCGGCCCCCTTCCCCCTTCTCCCTATAAATAGAGGGGTGGAGGGAGGGGTGCAGCACCACATCCAAGGCGCAACCCCTCCCCTCCCCAACACCTCTCCTCCTCCGCGTGTGCTTGGCGAAGCCCTGCCGGAGAACTGCCACTCCATCACCACCACGCCGTCGTGCTGCTGCTTGAGCCATCTTCCTTAACCTCTCCCTCCTCCTTGCTGGATCAAGGTGCGGGAGACGTCACCAGGCTGCACGTGTGTTGAACCCGGAGGTGCCGTTGTTCGGCGCTTAGATCGGAATCCGCCACGATCTGAATCACTACGAGTACGACTCCTTCATCCGCGTTCTTGCAACGCTTCTGTCTCACGATCTTCAAGGGTATGAAGATGCACTCCTCTCTCTCTCTCTCGTTGCTAGTTACTCCATAGATTGATCTTGGTGATGCATAGAATTTTTTTTAATTTCTGCAACGATCCCCAACAGTGGTATCAGAGCTAGGTCTATGCGTAGTTTCTATGCACGAGTAGAACACAAGTTTGTTGTGGGCGTCGATTTTGTCAATTTACTTGCCACTACTAGTCTTATCTTGTTTCAGCGACATCGTGGGATGAAGCGGCCCGGACCGACCTTACACGTACGCTTATGTGAGACAGATTCCACCGACTGACATGCACTAGTTGCATAAGGTGGCTAGCGGGTGTCTGTCTCTCCCACTTTAGTCAGATCGGATTCGATGAAAAGGGTCCTTATGAAGGGTAAATAGCAATTGGCATATCACGTTGTGGTTTTTGGCGTAGGTAAGAAACATTCTTGCTACAAACCTATAGCAGCCACGCAAAAACTTGCAACAACAATTAGAGGATGTCTAACTTGTTTTTGTAGCATATGTCGTGTGATGTGATATGGCCAAAAAGGATGTGATGAATGAAATATATGTGATGTATGAGATTGATCATGTTCTTGTAATAGGAATCATGAATTGCATGTCGATGAGTATGACAACCACCAGGAGCCATAGGAGTTGTCTTTATTTGTTGTATGACATGC